ATTTCAAGACTCTATCTATATTCATTCCATTGGCTTCACTAATCCTGTTTTCACCAAAGGTCCAGATATCATTTGTTGGCACCTAGCTTTTCTCATAAATAGAAGTATATCCTCTTCCAAATTCTTTCATAGATACCTTATGAAAGCTAAACATTTGAAAAGAAATACACTGTCCCCACCAAACACTAACGTATTTTACAAGTCAGTCTTTTGAAGCTAAATGTATCTTACAAAACTCTGCAGTGGCTTCAGAATTGAAATCCAGCCTTCCAACTCTTCCTGCAGATGTTTGACCATATGTGACACTTTCATCTCATTTTTTGAAACCTTTTACTATGGAAATTTTCAAACATATGCAAAAATAGAGAGACTAGTCCCCAGCAACCAGATTCAACAAGTATCAACATTCTGCCATTTATTTTTCCCTCTCCTGACTTTTTGTTTACTGTTTGTTGCAGTATTTGATAGCAGACTTCACACATCAAATCATTTCACCCATGAATGCCTGTTTCTGTTAGATGAGGCCCTTTTCCTTTGAACAAAACCATGACACTATTATCACATCCAACAAAATTAATAATTCTTAATATTATCTAATACCCAGTTCAAACTCAATTTTCCCTGTCTCAATAATGTATTTTTATAGTTGATTTGTTCAACTAAAGATCCAGCTGGGTACAGTGGTTCACTCCTGTAATCCCAGCACTTTGGGAGGCTGAGGCGGGCGGATCACAAGGTTAAAGATCAAGACCATCCTGGCCAACATGGTGAAACCCCGTCTCTACTAAAAAAATACAAAAAATTAGCTGGGCGTGGTGGCGCGTGCCTGTAGCCCCAGCTACTTAGGAGGCTGAGGCAGGAAAATTGCTTGAACCCAGGAGGCGAAGGTTGCAGTGAGCCAAGATCGCACCACTGCACTCCAGCCTGATGCCTGGCGACAGAGCAAGACTTGGTCTCAAAAAAAAATATCCAAATATGACTACATATTGTATTTTGTTGGTAGGTCTCTCAGGTCTCTATATTTGCAATAGGCTCCCCTGATTTTTTATTCAACCACCACTGACACACATTTAAATTCTAATTGGCCAAGCAAACCTTACCAACAATAACACCTCTTCAGCCTCCATATGCTATAAGCAAAACCAGACATTCATAGGCCTGTAGATGCCTAGGCACAGAATTACAGCTCCACCTTCCACATGCAATTCAATGTGAATACCAATATGCCACACAATCCCACATACTTTCTGCTCTCAAGAGAAGAAATTTAGATTGCTTCACTAAGCCAATTCTCTGAAATTAAATCTCTTCTGTGCTGCGATGGCCTGAAGACTCTGAATGATTTAAAAAAATAAACATCCATTTGCCGGGCGCGGTGGCTCAAGCCTGTAATCCCAGCACTTTGGGAGGCCGAGGCGGGTGGATCACGAGATCAAGAGATCGAGACCATCCTGGTCAACATGGTGAAACCCCGTCTCTACTAAAAATACAAAAACATTAGCTGGGCATGGTGGCGCGTGCCTGTAATCCCAGCTACTCAGGAGGCTGAGGCAGGAGAATTGCCTGAACCCAGGAGGCGGAGGTTGCGGTGAGCCGAGATCGCGCCATTGCACTCCAGCCTGGGTAACAAGAGTGAAACTCTGTCTCAAAAAAAATAAAAATAAAATAAAAAAATAAAAAAATAAACATCCATTTATTATGGCTCCCTTTTGAAATTAGCCAAACATAATCAAGAATCACAAAGTAAATCAGACAAAAGCCTTGTAATCCATTATCATTTACAGTAAGAACATTAATTGAGCACCTAGATCATGCAGGACATTGGGTTATAGAAAGGCTGGCCAGTGTCCCTGCCCCAAGGAACCTACTGTCTAAACAGAGGGGCATCACATCATTCAGACACAAATGACCAAGGAGGACAACAGTCACAGTATCACCCAAACTGACATCCATTTCCCACCCCATAAGTTAAGAATATTTATGAGGTTGATCCCTGTGCTGGGATAAAAAGAAGAGTCAGCCGGATGCGGTGGCTCATGCCTGTAAACCCAGAACTTTGGGAGGCTGAGGAGGGCTGATCACAAGGTCCGGAGTTCAAGACCAGCCTGGCAAACATGGTGAAAATACAGAGCAACAAAAGTCAAACACATTACGATGATGGGAAGGGAAACAAGGTGGATTCCACTCCCACCACTCTGACTCTTTTGTTCCTCGCCATTCTCTCCCGTCTCTACTAAAAATGCAAAAATTAGCTGGGCATGATGGCGTGTGCCTGTAATCCCAGCTACTCGGGAGGCTAAGGCAGGAGAATTGGTTAAACCAGGACCCGGGAGGTGGAAGCTGCAGTGAGCTGAGATCACTCCACTGTATTTCAGCCTGGGATACAGAGAGAGACTTCATCTCAAAAAAAAAGAACAGAAAAGAGAAGCACCATATTTGATTGTGAATTCTACCATTCATGAGCTGTGCCACAATGGATAAGTTGCTGGATCTGATTCTCAGTTTTCTCATCTGTAAGAGGAATAATCCCACCTACCTCACAGAGCAGCACCTGTTAACACTGAATCATAAGCTCTTACACAAAAATCCGGCAAAGATGATGATGATGGTAAAACCACTGAATACTTTACAAAGCACTAGACTGGAATGTTTTCTGTTTGTCTCATCTAACCCTCACACCAGTCCTATGAGGCAGCTCCCATTCTCATGCCACTTTCCAAAGAATTGAACAGAAGGGGTGAGTGGTCCACCCAACATAACACAGCTACAAGTGTGAGAGAGCCAGGATGTAGAGGACTTCAGCAATCTTTCTGCCAACCACAGTATGGTAATACCTCCCAATACTACTATGGGGAGGTGAAGGGGTAGAAGCAGAGCAGCCCGAATTAGCAGGCCCTCCCGTACAGATCAATTGTGTTATAAACTCCTAAGTTATAGCATTCCACAGCTCCTATCCTTGCTCAAACAGGAAACCCCCAGGAGGCCCTCAGAGTTGTCCTACCCAAGGTGTGGTTATACTCAGAGCCATAATGGTGGTTTCCTTCCTTATGGGGCAAGTCTTCAGCTGTCTGCTAAAGAGTTCTTAAGCCTTTTTCATCACAAGCCTCAAACATCTAACATTTGTTCAAATATTTGTCCAAAGTAAGATTGTCATTTTTTCCTAGATAATCCCTTACTTCCTTTTTTGTGCATACATTAGGTTAAAAAGGACTGACAGAAGCTAGCCATCAGAAAAGAGGTGCAACTCCCCTGTGGCCACTACACCGTGAGAGGACTGACCTAGCCAAGTGAAAAGGGCACCTGGCAAAGAACTGAGGTCCTGGCCAATAGTCCTGGCAGATCTCCTAGCCAACAGCCAGGACCTATGCCACCCACACGAGTGACACCATTTCAGACTTTCCCAACTGAAACCACACTAACTAAGCAGGAGTGCCACCCAGTCTACCCAGATATGTGAGAAATCAAATGCTGTTGGTTTAAGCCACTGAGTTTTAGGGTGGTTAGGTAAATGAAACAGCCAGAAAATAGCTTTCCAGCCGGACCAAATGCCAAATCTATGAATGAGAAGCACCATCATGGCAGCTAAAGATTGTTTATCAACGGAAATGATACAACTCCTTCAATCTGAGCACACCCGTTGGCCAAACATTCGCTCAGTAAACCTGGATCTATACCGTAAATATGGATCTATACCATAAACCTGGATCAACATGGTAAAACTGGATCTATACTGTAAATCTCGATCTATACTGTACCGGGCTCAACACTGTTAACAGTAACAACAGCCAATATTTACCAAGTGTTTATTACACACTAGGCACTGTGCTAAATCCTTTATTCATTTAATCCCTTACAAAAAGCCTTTCAAGGTGGGCCACCATAATACTCACTTTACACATGAGGTCACTGAGGAGTAGAGTGATACAGTGACTTGCCTGGGATCACATTGCTAGTAAACAGTGACATGGGATTTCACTCTTGGCCATCGGACACCACAGACACCAAGCTCTTAACTCTCAGCTTGTTTGGCCCCTTCAAAGTGTTATGCTGCTTTAACAAAACTGCCCCTTCTTTTGCTTTGTTTTTGTTTTGTTTTGTTTTTGAGATGGAGTCTCGCTCTGTTGCCCAGGCTGGAGTGCGGTGGCAGGCCCAGGTTTAAGCGATTCTCTTGCCTCAGCATCCCAAGTAGCTAGGATTACAGGTGTGCACCACCACACCCGGCTAATTTTTGTAATTTTAGTGGAGATGGGGTTTCGCCATGTTGGCCAGGCTGGTCTCAAACTCCTGACCTCAAGTGATCTGCCCACCTCTGCCTCCCAAAATGCTGGGATTACAGGCGTGAGCCACCATGCCCAGCTGAAACTGCACCTTCTGAGTTAATGTGTGTAAAGAGTTTAACACTGCCTGGTCTATGGTAAGTTTTCAGTAAACACCAACTCTTACGGAAACCTGCAGATGTGGAAGGAAGACGAGAGGAAGTAGTGTATATGACTGGCATACAGTATGCCCCCAACTAGTTAGCTATTTGGATGATTTATGTAGGGCTTCTTCACCAGCAAGCACTCCAGTGCTTGGTAATTTTCTCTTTGCAAGTAGGCTCTTACCACAGCCTGTGAGCTCTCTGAGCATAGAGCTGTTTCCAACACATCCTTGCAGGTCCGGAGCCCAGCATGTGGCCTGGCCCAGAGCAAGTAGCTGCTCAAGAAATGTTTCTTGAAAGGAGAGAAAACGCTTTCTTCCTTCACCACGAATGCGAACTTGGATTGCCAAGATGACACCTCCCCCAGCTACCAGCCCTTAACATGATTCCAAAGAAGAGGGCAAGAAGAGACAAGGGACCCACCCAAGAAATGCGGGGCCAATGGGCTCCATGGGATAAGAGATGGAGCTGTGGCCGGAGCACTTGAGAAGTCCATGCCACACCCAGAGCGGGACCTCCCCCCCCGCACTCCTGAAAGTCCCCAGGAAAAGGGAGAGGCCCTGAGATGGAAGGCACCCACCTCCAAAGTGGCAGGCCCCCCGTCCTCCCTGAGTCGACTGGGACTTGGGACTACCCCCTCGACCCATCCCGGGGCAGCCGCAGGCGCAGGAAGAAAAGAAAGTGACAGGAAGTCAAAAGTTTCCCAACAACAAAAATCCTTTCCCCGATGGAAGGGCTCCCACCCTCAGCCCGCCCCGCACAGGGAGGAGGGACGGCCACAAGTGGATCGAGGCGGTTGGGGGTCCCGCCGTTCTGGTCCCGACGACGGCCTGGCCTGAGGCTCCCCTGCCCCGCGCTTCGTGCACCCTGAATTCTTTGAGAGGGTCCCAGGGAGGGGTAGGACTGTCCCAACTCTTACTTACAGTCGTCTTGCAAGTCCACAAAGTACAGGGGGATCTCTGAAAACCAAGAAACACACAAGGAGTTACCAGGGGGCTGCGGCGGGAGGGGTCGGGTCGGGGTTGGGTAGGAGGCCCCCGGCCTCGCGGAGTGGTCACGGGGTGAGAGGGAGGGGAGCAGCCCGGGTGTCCCGGGAACCCAGCCCCACTCACCCGCCATCTTGGGATGGGCCTGAAGGAGGGACCGGCAGTAGCGGGGACCTGTGAACGGGGGCGGGGCCATCGGCTTCAGGCCCCGCCCCCGGCCCGCGCCAGCCGGCCGGCCCCGCCCTCGCGGCAAAGGTGGCTGCCGAGGTGGGCGTGGAGGTCAGGTGACCCGGCCGGCGTCCCAAGATGGCGGCAGCGGCGGCGCCCGGAAGGCCGCGGCGGCGTCCCAGCTGCTAAGGCGGGCCCCAGGCGGCTGGCAGCGGACAGGTCGGACCTAGTGCTGGAGCACCGGCGGCAGCCGCCTCTGCGCGGACCGGGCCTGGGCCGTGCGGCGGCGGTGGCGCCAGGGGATGCTCTTGCTGGGCCTGGCCTCTTCCTCCTCAACTTAGGGCGGCGGCGGGCCCGCGCCCCTGGCTCCCGGGCCATGGCGCTGAGGGAGCTCAAAGTGTGTCTGCTGGGGGTGAGTGGCGGCGGGTCCAGCCGGGAGGGCCACGGGAGGCTGGGCGGACAAGGACCCCGGCTCCCCCACGTCCCCTCACCCCTTCCCCCGCCTCCGTCCGAGATGCTGTCTGCCAGCTCGGTGGACCCTCCCTCCAGGTCGGAAGCTGTCCTGCCCTCCTCTTGCACCCTCCAAAAGGTCCTGGAGGCCTCAGGGACCCTTCCACTTCCCCGCCCCGGAGCCTGTGGACTCTTCCCGCCCCCCAAAGAGCAAACAGAGCCCCCCCCCTTGCTTCTCCATTGCATGTGGGTTAAGAGAGGCTCTTAAATAGTTTTCTCCAACTTACCAAGGTATTAGTTGGGAGTTGGCCAAGTCTTCCAAAGTAAAACCAATAACCGGTCTTTAGGTTTTACAAGCGGAATTAACCTACTTTGTTTCTTGGGTGTTTTTGAACTTGTAGGATATCTCTGCCACTTCTCCAAAGACCTACTTTATCAAGTAACTCTTCTGTATAGAAAAGGGGTGTTCAACTCAGGAAGCCCCAACGACTAGTTTGAAGCTTCAGCTTCCTGTCTTGTCAGGAAGGACAAGGTGTTAGCCATTTCAAAGACTTCTTTCTGAGATTGATGCTGGCATTTCAGAGTTTCTGCCTTAAAGATCGGCAGGAACTCCAGTAACTAATCTTTATTGCCCCCAAATAGAGTGAGGCTAGGATTCATCAGGGATTACTCAGAGGTAATTACTCAGGAGTTCAAAGTTTACTAACATATGTTAAAAAGCAAGTAGACTTGTTACTTTTTACGAAGCAGAAACTTTGGGTCTTTCAAAAGGTCCTAATCTGTCTTAAAAACTGCAAAAACCTCTCCCTTTTAGTACATTTAGAATCTCCTAATTACTCCACTGAATTGTTATGACAACCGCTTTTGTGTTCCTCAATTTATAAAATTACACATCTAGGGTGATTTTTTTTAAATCCTGAACTTACGCCACAAAGTAGTTTTTGGTGTCTGCAAGAAGGTAAACTTTTTCTCAGTCGCTCATCTCGTTCTCTTTCAGGATACAGGTGTAGGTAAATCGAGTATTGTGTGGCGATTTGTGGAAGACAGTTTTGATCCAAACATCAACCCAACAATAGGGTAAGAGATTTTTATTTGATACACATCTAAAGGTGCATTGAAAACCCTTCCAGATAAATAGTGGGTTACAGGTGTAGGCCCTGCGCTTTATATTCATTGAATTCTGAGTCGCTGGTTCGCATTGTTTCCGGAAGGACTTGAAAGAGTCCAGTGAGGATCTGTGTATTTTAGGAAAATTATCTTCAGACTTGTGAGGGGTGAAAACATCAAAATGCAAATATGAATTGGAGTTTTACTAATTATTAGAATAGACACAGAAGCTTCAGTCTATAAATACCCACAACGATTACACCTTGAAATAAGGCAGATGAAAACAGATCCGGTGCTATTCTTCCAGGCATATCAAGTAAAAGTCATTTAGATGGTTTTGTCCTTCCTGAAAGTGGTAGAATGAGCTCTGAACCCTTACACATCCCTGTATTGGTAGTAATAATGAATTAACAAATTCATATTGAAATGGAAGGTTTCTTCGGGTCTCTGGTTCCATGGTAAGTGAGGTTGATTGTTCCTATGTTTTTGACTCTATAAGAAAACTTTTCATGTCACAGTACTAATCGTTTGTCTACATAAGAAGTTGTGTTTTATAGGCTTTAATACTATGTTAGGATTATAAAACTAAATAGGTGCTGTGTTCTAGTTTTATTGTCAAACCCTCCATCAAATGGTTTCCAACATTTAAAAAAAAGTTCTGTATTATCCATCATTAGGATAAAATTGGCCTTCGTGCTCTATACAGGTCATTCTTTGCCTAATAGAGAACAGCCCAGGAGAGAAACTGCCATAGGATTGTCCCCTGAGAAATTATAAGCTACTGTTGTCAGGTTATGTGTTCAGTTTTTTTTGTTTTTTTTTTGAGACAGACTCTTGCTCTTCTTGCCCAGGCTGGAGTGCAGTGGCTCACTGCAGCCCCCCCCCCCCCCCCCCCCCCCCGGGTTCAAGCGATTCTCATGCCTCAGCCTCCCAGGTAGCTGGGATTACAAGCACCCACCACCACGCCTGGCTAATTTTGTAATTTTAGTGGAGATGGAGTTTCACCATGTTGGCCAGGCTGGTCTTGAACTCCTGACCTCAGGTGATCTGCCTGCCTCAGCCTCTCAAAGTGCTGGGATTACACGTGTGAGCCACCGCGCCGGACATATGTGTTCAATATTTTTTAATCTTTTTTTTTTTTTCACCCAGGCTGGAGTGCAGTGGCACAATCATGGCTCACGGTAGCCTCAACCTCCTGGGCTCAAGCCATCCACCCACCTCAGGTAGCTGAGACACAGATGCACACTGCCACACCTGGCTTATTTTTTGTATTTTTAGTAGAGATGGAGTTTAACCATCTTACCCAGGCTGGTCTGGAACTCCTGGGCTCAAGTGATCCACCCACCTCAGCCTCCCAAAGTGCTAGAATTATAATATGAGCCACCACACCCAACCTATCTGCTTTCTTAAACCCTGTGGGTGCCCTACACATCTGAAAGCATGGGGATGAAATTCACCAATAAATTTCTGCAATTAAAATGCTTTCAGTATCCTTTAAGAGCTAGGTGTGACCACGTGTAAAACATGACCCCATCCTCCTGAGGGCCTGCCTGTCGCTACCTGCATGGGAAAGTGTTGGGAAGTGACAAGTACTGCTGGTAATTCCGCAAGTGACACACTTCACACTGAGTCAGAGCTGAAAACCCAGAACCCACAAGACACCCAGATACCAGCTTGGCTAGAAGTGCTCTCTCAAATGAGAGAAAAGTGAAGGGTGTAGCTTCATGCATCTTGGTGAGGCCCATGGCCCTATCTTAAGTGTCCACTGTTCCCTTTTTTGCCAGTGGCTCCCAATCTGTCAGATGCCTGTGGCCCCTGAGCTACCTCTAGTCCACTCTCTGCACCTGGAGATTTGGCTCACATTTTCACAGGAAAAAAACATGCAAGGCTTTCTCCTCATTTCTTTTTTCTGCTTTTCTTTCGTTTGTCTGTTTTTCCTCAGCTTTAGAAGGTGGCTTCCTCCTTTGTGACCAACCCCCAAACATACCCCTGAGCTCTGGAGCCCCACCTCACCGTCAGTTACCCTGTTTCTCCCTCAGCCCTGTGCCTGCACACAGGTTCCCCACTCCACTACAAGAGCACCATTCCCCAACATGCTGCTCAGACAGTGGAACTCCTGAAAGAGAAGTCAACACTTCCTCAACTGCACTCACACCCCAGCCCTCTGTCATCTCAGTTCCACCCCACCATGCCACTAAAACCATCTTCACTTAGTACCAGTTTCCATCTAATAGCCAAAATCGGTGGCCTTTTTTTGGTAGTTTTCTTTATCCATAGAGTGCCTACTACATGCCAGGTGCTAGACTGGGTTCTAGACCAGGGGTCAGCAAACTGTGGCCCTTTTGCCCGCCTCCTTTCTTTGTAAAGAGTTACTGAAACAGTCACACCCATTTATTTACTTATTGTCTTGCTGCTTTGGGGTCATAATGACCAACTTGAATAGTTGCAACTAAGACTTGACCCACAAACCCAAAAATACTTGCTGTCTGGTACTTTTCAGAACAAGTTTGCTGACCCCTGATTTAGACAAAATGGACTTCTATCCTTGTAGACCTTACCTACAAGGAGGAGCTACATTATGACTAATATGCAAAAAATGATTTATTCTTTTTTTTTTTTTTTTTTTTTTTTTTGAGACAGAGTCTTGCTCTGTCACCCAGCTGGAGTGCAGTGGCAGGATCTTGGCTCACTGCAACCTCTGCCTTCCAGGTTCAAGCCATTCCCCTGCCTCAGCCTCCTGAGTAGCTGGAATTACAGGCGCCTGCCACCATGCCCAGCTAATTTTTTGTATTTTAGTAGAGACAGGCTTTGACCATGTTGGCCAGGATGGTCTCGATCTCCTGACCTCCTGATCCTCCCACCTTGGCCTCCCAAAGTGCTGGGATTAATAAATTGACTGTACCTGGCCAATTTATTCTTCTTTTTTTTGGAGTCTGAGTCTCTCTCTGTTGCCCAGGCTCGATCGTAGTGACACAATCTCAGCTCACTGCCTCAGCCTCCCATGTAGTTGGGATTACAGGTGCCCGCTACCATGCCCAACTAATTTTTGTATTTTTAGTAGAGATGGGTTTCACCATGTTGGCCAGGCTGATCTCAGACTCCTGACCTCAGGTGATCCACCTGCCTTGGCCTCCCAAAGTGCTGAGATTACAGGTGTGAGCCACAGCACCTGGCGAACCCTAGGCAGTTTAATCTCTGATCTGTTTCTTCGTAAGCACTTAAGGATAATGATAGGACTGGCCCCATATTGTTAGAAGAATTCCAGGAGAGGTGTATTTAAAATACTTTGGAAAGTGCCAGGGAAACTGGAGCTCAATAAATTATAGTTATTATTATTTTTTAATTTTTATTTTTTAGAGACAAGGTCTTGCTCGGTCACCCAATCTGAAATGGAGGGACACTTTGAGCTCACTGCAGCCTCAAACACCTCAGCCGAAGCAATCCTCCTGCTCAGCCTCCTGAGTAGCTAGGACAACAATAGCATGAACAGTAGGCACCATCATGCCTTGCTATTTTTTTTTTTTTTTTTTTTTTTTTTTGTAGAGATGGGGTCTCACTGCATTGCCCAAGCTGATCTTGAACTCTTGGCCTCAAGAAGTCCTCCTGCCTTGGCTTCCCAAAGTGCTAGGATTAGGCATAAGCCACAGCATTTGGCCTATTCTTTTGTAAATGTTTAAATCTTTTTAAAATTTTAAAATCATTTGTATCAAAGCACTGTGTATATGGTTTTTTTTAACTTGAAATAGTGTTAACGAGGCTCATAAGTGTAGTATAAATAACCGTGCTCTACTCTGAGCTATTCACTGGAAGTTTACTGTTACCTTGGCATTTAGCTATTTTTTCTGATCTTTTCTCCAAATTTTTTCATAACCTGCATACGCAGGTTGAGTACCCCAAATACAAAATGCTCCAAAATCTGAAACTTTTTCAGCAACAATATGACACTTACATATTGAGTATTTTGGATTTTGGATTTTTGATTTTGGAATGCTGAACTGGTATAATGCAAATATTCCAAATTCTGAAAAATTCCAAAATTGAAAACAATTCTTTTTTTTTTTTTTTTTTTTTTTAATTTCCCCCCTAGAATCGGAAACACTCTGGTCAGCATTTCAGATAAGGGATACTCAGCCTGTACTGATAGCTCTTGATCCCTCTCTCCTCCCTGCCTCCTGTTTAAGGCATTATCCACAGATTATTTTTCTTTGGAAGATGGGAATTTTGCCATCCTCCTCCTCCCACCTCCTTCTGCATATTTGCCCTCCCTCCATCTTTTCATTAAAGTTCTCTCATTGGGAGTCAATGTACCATAGTGTTTAGAATACAGACACTCGAGCCAGCCTGTCTCCCTTCACCTGCCAGCTCTAGCACTTAGGTTGATCTGTGGCATTGGACAAGTTATTTAACTTCTTTGTGGCTACATTTGCACATTTGGGAATCCTCCCTGGCATCTAACTTATAGGGTGTTACGAAATTGAATTCAAACACATAAAAATTGCTTAGAATGGAGTATGCCGTATGGAAAGCATTTGTTATTTCTTAGCAAATGACAAAATTAATTTAAAAAGGTTATTTTTTAATAACCTCACACTATGGTTTTGAACGTTATATAAAGGCAATTAGTATATACATACACACATGCATGTAGTGTGCTTCTTGGAAACATTGTGAGATTCATCTATATTATTTCATATAATAGTTTTTTTCATCACTATGTGGTATGTATCCCAGTGGATGCATATACCCCAGTTTATTGATTTTACTCTTGGACATTTTGTTTCCTGTTTAGAAGTTTGGGGCTATTATATGTAACTGTTACGAACATTCTCATGTATTTTGTGCCATATCTATGAGAATGGGGGACATATATTAATATATATGGCAGTGGCATTGCTAGGGCACTAAGGAGATGCATCTTCAACTCTGTGAGATAGCTCCCGAAGTATGGCACCAGTTTTCACTCCCACCGA